CAACGTTCCTCGGATAGATGAGCCTTGGCGTGAAAGAATCCATATCCATAGGATAGAATAATACGTTTCCAGAGAAACTGATTAAGTAAAAGGAGAAAAGAGAAAAGGCAAAAAAGAGTGCGAGAATGCACGGAGCTGCTAGAGAGGCTGCCACTCGCGTTGGCGCCGGAAATAAACCACCCATAAAACAGTTACTGTGGAATTTTGTTTTGCTACAGATTTACTTACATTTTAAATATTTTAGGGACAGACCAATTATCAGCCTGGTCGATTATCGTGGCTGATTATCGGTATGGATATGTTTAAAGACAGATGATTATTAAATTAAATGTGCTCAATCTGATCTCAGAAATGTCTCTCAAGCAGACACTGCAAAAACTGAACAAGAAACACAAGCTTTTGCCACAAACCAGGAAATTAACTACTTTCACAGTGGCTAAGGCTACGCTAACAGCTAGCGGCTAATCGTGTGAGTGTGTTTTTGTGTGTGTGCGCATGTTTTGTTTTTTTTTGTCTGCTAACAATCTAGCTCTTCACAGGAGAGGAATTTGAACCTAAAACGTCATATTTGACCTCGGTATGGTCCCTTCTCAGAGTGATTACATTTTGTTGTCAATGCATGCGTTGGTGAGCTACAGAGGTCAAAGGTCGCATTTCCCTAAAAAGCTCTGTATGACTGAAAAGGCACAAAAAGACATATTTAGTATACTAACTGAAGAAGACATTCGAGGCCTATAAACAGGTGATGTGACCTTGAGACAAAGGTCAAGGTCACACCGATCTCCCAAATCATCACAAATTTTTTTTGGAAAAGGTGTAAGATAAACTCATAGTTTCTTATTCCAGTCAGATAGGAACCCATACTGGTGATGTGACATTTGACCTTGGACAAAAGGTCAAGGTCAAACTCAATGTCATAAATCTTAGATGCTTAGCCATCAGTGTAAATTACAGAAAACTGCTTCCCCTCCATGCAAAATATGTGTTACATGATGGACTAAGCTCTTGTTACATTATGTATCCTTTTAAGGTAAAATCAAGACAGGTTCATCCTTAAGTAGGTGCACAGTACAACACAGAATCAGGTTAACATGCATACATTGGGCAACTATGTCCCTCCACTGAGGGATCTCTGGCTAATAATTCTTTCTTTCTAATTTAAACACTCCTATCTTGAGTTTACATATTCATTTATACTCATCCTCATTAATGAAGAAACCTAACTATAAATGACAGGTTATCTGCTACCACATGCTGTTAAAACATTTTATTTAATGTATGTAGTCTCCAAATATTGGCTACCGGCCTTTCTTTATTACCACTGATTGACACCCTAAAACCCATACTGGTCGATCCCTAGAATATTTCATGATAAATTTCTTTCAGCTCAGTCAAACAAGGTTCATCTGAGCCCCTTGGTGACCCTCGTAGCTGCCTTGTGTGTCTGTTCAGCGATCCAACCTTGCACATCCAACCTTGCACAACATTGGAATTTCTTGTGTTGTAGATGCACACATGCAGCTGTGTGTACAAGGACAAAGGTTTGGGGAAGTTAAGACTGGAAACATTTCAGGACGACCTTGTCTGTGGAATTGAATCCACTCTTCTATTCTACTTCATTTAATGTTAATATATAATTTGTAGTTAACTGGATTTAAAAGGCCAATTTTGTATTTTCAGATCACGTTAGACTTTTTATAACTTGAGGCACTCTGATTTAAAAAGATGAGACGACAGTAAGTACTGAGAGTTCATTCAAAGTTCATGTGAAATAAAGTTAAGAAAGAAAGCCAAGTACACTGTAAAATGTGAGAAGTTGATCTTACTTCAACAAATCTAGGAAACCGGTTACACTCAAAAAAAAAGTAAGTTCATATAACCATTAGTCTTAAATTCAGTTTACTTCATGTCTACTTGTAAAGTTTATTTAATTTTGTGAAGTTAAAAATATCAAGTATAATGAACTTGATCTTTCCAAGGGTTAGAAACTTAAATAATAACAATTGATCAGATTTATAGAGTGCTTTTCTAGACACTCAAAGACGCTTTACACTGTCAATTATTCATTCACACACATTCATCCTGGTGGTGGTAGCTACGATTTTAGCCACAGCTCCGACCACCACCTCAAACAATCCATTCATACGCATTCACAAGGTGGGTGAAGTGTCTTGCCCAAGAACACAACGACCATGACACAGGTTATAAGGTGGAATCTAACCGCTGACCTTCCGATCATTGACCAAGGCGCTCTACCACCTGAGCCACAGCCTCCCCGTAAAGTTTCTGGAAACTTCTCTACTGCACATGTGCACTGCTGAGCTCTGTGTTCAGTCCAGGAACAGAACGTTTCAAGTCCAGTTTACTCAAGTGTACTTAGTTTTCTAACTCTTTAAGGAAAAATGACTCACAGTCCATGAGTTAAATGAACAGGACAATGAGAAATAAGTAAAGTACACTAAAAGGTAATGCCTATGCTTACTTGAATCACATTAGAGTGTGGTGGAGGAGCAGTTAGAGGGCAGCCACTGTTTAGGGGAGACTGTAGGAGGTAGATATCATTGACTGGTGATACTGAAGAGGTACTGTGTGGGTACATCTGACAAAGGTTAGAAATTAGGATATGCATACATTAAGGCACCTTTTTAAATCCAAAGTGAGGAAAAAATTTTGGCTTCCTGCCATGGCCAGATTGCTGGTGCACTTCTATAGCACATACTATATTTTGCAATAATCATAGACTCCTTGTATTATCTCTGTGATGGACTTGCAGACTGACCTTTC